GCCTGTTCCTATTCTCATTGGTATCCCTGACCGGGCTCCAGACTCCTGGACCTCTGAGCCTTCCTGTTCTGATCTGTTTCCCTGACCTGGCTCGATCTCCTGCTTGTTCTCTGGGGCTGCAGCATCTTTTTCACTCTTGGTGGTGACTGCCGCATCTCCTTGGCAGCCCACCAGCTGGATCCTACCTTGTTCCATGGAGATGAACTGAACTGTTAAACCAAGTTATATGGATACTCATCCTTTGTCAGAGTATCTTGGTCACTAATCTGTTTTTCTCCAACTGGAGTTTCCAGTGATGGGCAGCCGCTGATACCACTGATCTACATCCCAATCTGTATTTAAATAAACACTTTGAATTATCCAACTGTCTTCTTGCCTTGAATAGCGATTCCTTCCGTCTTGCATTCTGACACTGACAGTGCAATCCCTGGCAACTAGATGGCTTGAGATTGTTGGCAAAAACAAGTTTACATAATCTTGTTATCATTGACAAAGCAATGTCTTTTGTTCAAAACTAAAAGAAATTAATCAAACATTTGCCTCTTTTAAATGTGCAACATCGCCAAACTTTGACTTCTTGTAATGAATTGGGAAAAAAAACTATCAATGCCTTTGTTTGATTCTGATTGGACTACTCTAACAGTCAGTTCTAATGCCTTAATCATAAGAATGAGCTGAATCATCTTGAATACATCCAAAACTCTGCTGTGAGGCTGCTCTCATTTTAGAATCCATACATTGGTATTCTGTTGTTTTCACGTTTACTTTAAAATCCTAGTTTATACATTCAGAGCCCTCCATGGAAAGGCTCTTGAATACTCAAGCCCGCTCAAGTTCCATACTTCCTCTCACAGTCTGAAGTCTTTGTTTAAGAACCTGCTGGTGGTTTCAAAGGAGGCGAAGGATCATCTCTCTTTGCAAGATGATTACCCCCTGATGATAATCGAGCCAAATACCTTGACCAAAAATATCTTTATTGCTGAAATCTGTCTTATCTGTCTCTTATGAATCTCCTTAATGTGGACATTATTATTCTTCCAGACAAACAGTGAACCCCACTCTCACAATGCTTTTGTGTTTCACTCACATTCTCCTGGACCTCAGGGGTACAGCCTGCAAAGCCTGCTGAATCAAACCCCTACAGATCCCTGCGACCTCCCCTCCATCACTCAAGTAAACAAATAAATCCGTCTTGAGCTGTCATCAACCAACTCCTTCCTGATCAGTCTGCTTTCTTTCCACAGACCAACCAGAAAGTTCAACTGATTTCCCGGAGGTCTCAGCTTCCAGATTCTTGTTGCTTTTGCAAATAAAACTTTAAAATACTTTGGTTCACTGTGTGATTCCGCGTGTGGTTCAAAAAACTACAAACCAAAATGACAACCTATTTTAAAACCTTAGAAGACCAATCCTTCAAAGATGTAGCACTCCTTCTTTCGAATCAACCACCCCTGTCCTTCTGTTCACTTTAATTGGTTGCGTAGCTTAACAGTTCAGACCTCTTTTTTTATAACAAAACAAGGTGGTTAACTATATGACTATTTGTGCATTTTACTGTATGTATTTTTTTCATTGCTCACTGCTTTGACTCCTTTCTGTGCAAAACAGTATAAGTAAAGTTTTCTTATATCTACAAACAGGGCAATAAAACTGAAACTGTTGACCACAGCATAGTAAAGAAGATTATAAAGGAGGCAAAATATCTCCAAAGTCAAATGTCAGACCGGTAAAGAGGGTCACCATGGCTCTATTACAACCATCAGATGCCATACACATGGTTGTGTTGGGTAAGTGGTGGCAGGAAGCAGCCTTATCATCAAGCTGTGATATTTAAGATGTTGCCTTTAGCAGAGTGGGTCTTGAGAAAAGCAAAAAAAAAAAAAAAAAAAGAATTAAAAAGCTCCTCTTGCAAACCGAACCGAGCAGAATCAGTGAAGCAGTGGATCCTGTCGGAACTACACTAGAGCGGATAGCATCATGAACATTTTGATTAACCAGGGCTTTCCAACTAATAACAAAATGTAGTCATCTTTGCCAGAGAAATGAAAATGAGTGGTCAGTGTGGTCTTGCAGTGAGCACTTATCCATTAGTCCAACACAGAAATAGCTTAACTGGAGAAAAAAATTAAAGCCTCTTCCATGCCCATATCAGTTCCTACAGTATAACTTAACTCCATTTAAACCTATAGGGGAAAAAGAAAGGGGCATAAAACAAAGCCCAGAACATTAATTTATGCATTTATGCTCAGATATTGTAAACTGTTTTAGAAGACTAAGAGCTCTCGTACGGTCATAGAAATTGTGTAAAATAACGTTTCTCTCTAAATTAATACAATTTAGAGCTCTTGTTTTTTCTAAGTGTTCCTCCTTGAGTTGATGTTGCTTTTATAAAGCATGCTTTTATTTTAAGCTTTGAGCTTAAAGCTTTTGTAAGTGGTCATAAACAGCTCAGTTTTATATTAAGATTAATTTAAATTCTAAATTTAAACAATTCTCACAACAATATCAATGTATCATATTGTAATAATGCTTTTAAACATAAAACCATGTTAAAAATAAAAATAATATAATTAATTGTATATTACTAATTTTGGAAATAAGTAATGTGAAGATATGTTTTAAATAGCTTTTTAAATAGTCTATTTGTGTAAAACAAGGTGGTACAAGGTAAGTATAACAAAAAAACAAAACAAAAAAAAACTAAAGTTTCATATTATTTGGATAAATCTCCAAACCTCAGAATGATTCGAAAAGCAATATGTACTGAATGTTGCATTTTCATAAAACCTTGTTTTACTTTCAATTCATCCATTAAAAAAGAAGATGCACAGAAATCTGGGAGGCTGAGGAGCTGATCTCCTCTTGTAAGCCATGGAATTTTGGATATAACAAAGAAAGGAGCCCTTTGCTTCATCTGTTCCACTCCACACCCTCTGGAGTCTATCATGGTTGTCATCTAACATCAACAGGAGCAATGGCTGAAGCTTTTTGTGCCCACTATCCTGGACTCAATGAGCGAATCAAAGGAGGAGCACACCATCAAAGAAAGCTTTGGTTCACCAGGGCATGACGAAGAAGGAGGAGGAAGCAATCCGAATCTGATCACTGAGTCTAATCTGGGGACCGGAAATCGCTTTCAGAGTTTTAAGCAAGCAGGACTACCATCCTTAAAAGGTAATCAGTTATCAATACTAATTCCAATTTTTTCTTGCTCTTGTGGTTTGAAAGTATGCTGAATGGATAATCCTAAAGGCCACATGGACATACAGATCCCTGTCCCTATCCGTGCCTGGTGAAACCTGCATGTAGAGCAAAGTGAATAACACTTTAATTTTGCTTCTATCTTATTACACTCTATCCATTCCAATGAGTTTCCTTTCACACTGACCTATGGCCTCATTTTCATATAACAGCCTTTACTGCTGGAGTTTCTGCTGTGATTTGCATACAAATGTACTGATAAATTAGTAAAGACAACTGCTCAGAGGCATTAGGAATTGACTAGGTTAAGGCGTTGACCCTATCTAATCAGTCTATGGCCTTGTTTTTTTTTTACAGATATCACAAAGAGCATGTTTTCAGTCTAAGCTTTTTCTCCGTACTTTCAGCATGCTCAGTTATTTCCCTCGCAGCTTGACATCATTCAAGGCTGAAACAAAAGACACGCATTGTCTTCGCTGGGTTGCAAAAACTTTGGAGAATTTCTCAGTGAGATCTTCCAGTTGGTGCATTCTTCAGATACGTCATTTTCCTCCCACACGTTTTCTCCCACTGACAATTACTGACCATGGTGAATGGTTGATGCACAGCAAGCTGCATATCTTAGAGTGCTATTCAAACAGGTGTAAAACGAAAGACAGCATGCAGGGTTATCAGACAAGATGCAAACATCATGACTGTCTTTGGGTATTCATAATGCCTCAAAATGAAACAGTTTCTGTTTTCAGCTGTTTCCTGAGCTCATCTGAAATTCTTACCCCTTGGAAAGAAGCCAGGGTAGACCAATAACAGGCAGATGGCTTCGTGATGGTATCAGCAGCTTCCAATCTGCTTTTGCATACCACAACACATCTGACATGCTTGTGTAACTGGAGTTTACAGTGTAGAATAGATGGGAATTTTGAATAAGGAAACAGACCATGACTAGTTTTGAAGATGAGAAGTAAACAGGTTTCCTTAGCATTGATGAAAAGGTTGTCAGAAATTATGCCATCTCAGTAAGAAGATTAGCTCCATCCCAGTCAGAAAATAGCACTGTTATGCTGTGGGGGGAAAAAATTAAGCCGTTTCAGATCAGTACTAGTTACAGAAACCAGCTGCCACTTTAAGGCTGTTAATCTGACGAAGATTGACACCAGGCTTGTTTGCAGCAGTTCCAGCTACATCTGACAATATGGAGAAAACCATTTTGAAATTGTTGGGAATTTATCAAAAATGTAAACATGAGAAATTCCATTTATGTCATAGGCATTGGTTGATGCTTTGTCATACAGCCTTTAGCAGCAATTACAGCCTCAAGTTCTTATGAGAATTGATCTTCAAGCTAAGCGTGCTTAGCTATATTTAGCTATAGTTAAATGGTTTCACCCATTCTTCTTTGCAGGCAAGACAAATAATTGCAAAGCTCCTGGAGTCTTCTTTGCTAAGATAATATCAGATCTCTCTAGTGATGTTCAATCGATTTCCAGCCTTAATGGGTTTGCAACCTTTTATCCCATTGGGGTATCATGTGTAGAAATTTAGGAATAGTTTAATATGGTACGACTGAGAATAAGGGTGTTTTATAAGTAAACACGGAAAAACAGTAGTGCTGTAAATGCTTTGTGAAAAATATCCTTGTTGAGAGCAAACTGAAACCTAAGTCAGATTCAGTCAGTTTATGTAACAAGTTAAAGCTGATTTTGATTTTACTTGTTTTTCCAATGACCAATTTTTAGGGAAAAAGTAAAAGCTGAGGGCTGCTTTTAAGTGACAGCGAGGATAAACAAAAGTTCACTCACCCTGGAAACACATAAAATCGTGTTTTGTCAGCATCTATCTGCTTTACAACTGCTTTTTCACCTGGGGGCAAGCTCTGGGCATAAGTCACACTCAGCAAGAGTTTAGGAGAACAGGCTTGACTGAAAAAACAAAACCCCCTTCCCCCTAGAAAATCCAGTCACCTCCCCCATTCCCATCTCCCTCCACTTCCCCCTACCTCTCTCTGCCCAGCTGCATACTTGAAAACACTTTAATCCCCTGCCTTAAACTGAACCTCTGTGTCTCACTGGTAAATATCTCGATTCTACTGCATGGTCTAGTTTTAAAGAGCACCACATGATTACTTCTTTTTTATTAACATCATGAATGAAGCTTGATGCACCCCCCAACACCAACCCCAACCCCCATCAAGATTCCTAACTGGTGGAGAGTAAGAGCTGAACCTGCCTCCTTTAAGCTGTGATGAGAAAATAACGAACACTGACACAACTGCAATAACAAGAAAAGTGCAATCTTCTCCTCTGGGAAAAAGAGGAGCAGCAATGCTGGTTGTGTAAGGCTTTGTTTCTTCAAACCAGGTCATCGGGAAGGTGCAATTGATGTTATTCCCATGGTTCATAAACATTCTTGTATTTTATGATAATTTGTTTCATCTTCAAAATGAGTAAAATTTTGAATATGCTCAGCACAATCACAGTGGTGACATTTAGAAATTGACTTGATTTGTCTGGATGACAGCTTAAAACCCAACTACTCCTTTTCCAGGGTGCTGGAAAGTGATGTGGCAGGAGGCCTATAGATGCACCATGTATTATTAGTGCAGTCATTGCAAAAATAATCACACATCTCAAAATTACTGTGTTTATAGATATGCACTGGATCATTCTGATGTAATAGAAATACATATGCATATAGAGGTGTTTTAAAAAAAATCTTTTTACAAATAAAAACTATCCATCTAGCAGTTGCAGTACCCCTTTAACAGTGTTACACATCTACAGGCTGAATTTTTCTGTCCATCTTTCTTTTTTAAGACGGTTTGAACTAACAAATATGGTTTGTTTTGATCTATTTCATTGCAGCTTTGGCTGTAGATTCAAGGCTGTTTCGTTGCTGGAGCTTAAACTTCCACCCAAGTTTGAAGTATTTTGCAGTCTTTAATAGTTTAGCAAAACATTTCCCTGTTTGTAATTCCCTCCAGCTTCCCATCACAATGATCAGCATTATTTTCCAAGTTGACTAAAATGATCTAAATATTATTCAACAACCACCAGTAGCCTAAAATGTAGGATTTTAGCCGCTACAAATATAATGCTATCACAATGAAGCTGCACAGTTTGGTGACTACAATGGTCAGATCAGTGGAGCAGAGAAGAAATATCTCTGCAAGCAAATTATTCCTTTCACCTGAGCTGTGAATTTCTGCAGCTCATCCACATTTTGCTGCCTCTCTTATTAATGTTCATATAAGTTCAATTTAGTTTGATGTTTGATTATAGGGCCAGATTGAACACTGATCTGTTCCATCCATCCATCCATCCATCCATCCATCCATCCATCCATCCATCCATCCATCCATCCATCCATCCATCCATCCATCCATCCATCCATCCATCCATCCATCCATCCATCCATCCGTTCTAAATAATAAAGTCTTTATCTTTAAACTTTAAAACAGTTGTGAGTACTATTTAATAAGACACTTATCATTTTAAATTGAATTTTTTCTATTTTTTAATCCATCCATCCATTTTCTTCCGCTTTATCAGGCGCCGGGTCCCAGAGTCCGCAGTCTAAGCAGAGATGCCCAGACTTCCCTATCCGCACACACCTCCTCCAGCTGCTCTGGGGGACCCCGAGGCGACACCAGGCCAGCTCAGAGACATAGTCCCTCCAGCGTGTCCTGGGCCTTGCACGAAGCCTGCTCCCAATAGGACATGCCAGGAACACCTACCAATGGAGGCGACCAGGAGGCATGCAGAATCGATGCCCAAACCACCTCAAATGGCTCCCTTCGAGTTGGAGGAGCAACGGCTCTACTCTGAGCTCATCGCGTAATCTCGAAGGGTGCGCCCAACCCCCCAGCTACATTTCGGCTTCTTGCATTCGGCCACTTGTATTCGTGAATAAAAACACTGATCTGTTGTCAAATAATCTAAATCTTCTCCAATTATTTTTATTAAATGTATCCTTTTACATTTAATTCATCATGATCAACTTTGTGTCGGTCTATCCTTAGAATTCCCAGTCACAGTATATTACAATATAAATTTTAAATATTTGTGTTTCATGTGTAATGCCTGTATGCTAAATCTCAGATCCCTATGTTATGTAAGAAGAAGCATTTGTGTCTGACTTTAGTCCACACAATAAACAACGAGAAATGGTTGTGTTGTTTCGGAGGAACTCTGCAGGTGTCATTATGATAGATCCTTGTCTTACCTGCCTGGACACGTCTTGTGGTTCTTTTTACCTCATCAAGAAACTTCCCAGACAACCTGCAATATGGCAAAGACAACAAAGAGTGCACAGCAAACACCCCCAAAGCCAAACTCCTAATCCAGATTACACAAACGAAGCTTTGCACATTTACTGGAAACAGTGAAGGGTTTGTGTGTTTTTATCGCATATATCACTGCACAGTAAAATTAAAAGCCTATCTAATTATCCATCAGAGTCCCCCCTCCGTTACTTTCTGGTGAGCATGTGTACCAAGCCTGGGCTCGTATCCTGCATGTTGGGTCAGCAGTGTTGACACTTCAGAGCCCTGACTGATTTCATGTTCTAAGAAACTGGAGAGTATAAGTAGCAGTTACAAAATGCTCTGGTTTTCCTTGTCGAACAGGTTTCTTTCCCATGCCAGATGTCATATGCACGCAAAACAAGTTGTTAATAAGAAATCATTGCGCAGGATTCACGACATGATTTATGAGTCATCCATGTTTACTGATGCGGACAGTAGTAACGGACCCCGCTGCTCTGCAAGTCCCTGCAGCTCTCGCGTCACTCAGACACAGAGCTTTAAGGTGTTTTTGCTTCAGACTCATTGAGCCTAGTGATGCTATTTTTTATTATTATCAAAAAGTACTTGTTTAAAGGGATTGTTGACAATTGAAACGTAAAAGTCAGTGGTTTATCATAGAGCCATCAGCGAGGCATGTTCCTGTATTTGAGCTGTGTGGTTTTCTGAATCCCACTAAACTGCAAATGAGTGATTGCAAAAAAATTAAAAATAAACCAGAGGATCTGGGGACCTTATTCCCTCATGTTTTGGTGACTGTCACTTTGTGTTTACTTGACCAACACATACAGCTTGGGTTCATTTATTTTGATGTGAAAGCGGATGTCACTGCGGTTGTGGTCAAATGAGCAACAAACCCACACTTTTACGATTTCAGCTCATATTTATATTCTACAGTAGAAGAAGAATATTGGAACAGTTTTCCAATTTTTAAAAGACTGATGGTCAGTTTTCACAAATGTTTGAAGGCAGCTCTTACTAGCATGGAGGTTTCATGACATTTTCTTGATTTCAAAATATGTTTAAAACTTTTAAGAGTGAGAAAAGGGGCCTAAGAAAAGAATGTGTCTGCAAGTAACATCCTCTTGCAGATATTAAAAAGAAAAATTTACCTCCTTCACCGATTTGGTCAAATGTTGCTTTTAAAGATTCGAAGTCTTCCTAAAAACTATGAGCAATTGATAATATTTGCATCAACCTTAAATTATTAGCTTTCTGTTATTGTTCTAACTGAAAACTGGCTTGCAAAGTAATCCAAAGATTTAGATGTTTAGGTTTCCGCCTTCATATCAATTTTTTTCATTTTGTCCTGGGGGAGGAGTATCAGTTTTTTGCTTTTGAAAAGTTTCAGTTCCTAAAAAAGATCCACGACTTTTTGAACATGCTGTCATAAATATGATGTAATTTAACAACAGTAACCTTAAAAAAATGTCATTTCTGATTTGTAAAAACCTTTAATTAACTACTCCCAAAATGCCATAGACTGTATCTCTTTTTATATTTTTCACCCATGGAGATTGTTTTGGTTTTCTGGAATCACCTACACTGTAGTATTTCCACAATCATTGGAATAGCTTAAATGAAAATCACTTGATTAATGTGTGGGCTTATACATTTCCATCATATCTTTGGAAAATCCTGCTGCAGCAGAGGTGATTTTTTTGAATTACAAATCATCATAGAACATAAGCATCTAGTGCTTCTTTATTCTCTAAACTGAAGCTGAAACTGAATTTGAGATGAATATTTTGATCTCCATCTACTACTTTTTAAAACATGACGGTGCCAGTTTTCTGTCAAATATCAACTTCTTCTCTGGAACCAGTTTTTACATCTTAAAAAAACATTTGTTTCTTTGTTGGTATTTAAATATATACTAGAGAACATTTTACTATCTACATTTTAGATTTTAGGAATCTTAGAATGCTATATAAGTTTTCTTTTTTTATTTTAGTACTCTTTTATTCAATTGCTTGTTGATATTAATGTACTGATGATATTATTTACACCTATATTTCTACTATTCCATCACATCTATATATCAATTGTATAACTTGAAAATGATTTTGTCTTATTGCATTCTAGGAATAAAAAATTATGAACTGAATTAAACTTAAACTGCTCGCATTTCACATTCTGAAGGACAGAGAAGACTGAGCTTTAAGCTCATTAGGTCAATATTAACTAAAATGCTGGAACTTTAATTAAATATTTCCTTTAGATATTTCCTCGTTTCCTCAATCATGATCCGGAAAGACATGGCACTTTACAGAAAATGTATTGCTTTAAAAATAACTTAGAAAACAAGTTCAAATGTCCGTCAAGGAAATTCCACTTCGCTTTAAACAGCATTGTATCACAGAACTGTATTTCCTCAACAAATTCAACACTTCATGAATATTCAACTTGTTTAATAGATGAGCTTTTGCTGAAAATTAGATAGGAAGACTTTATGGAGACATACAGTAGTTTCTATTATTTCCTGTCATCTGTAAGTCCCAAAATAAATCACTATTCAACCTTGAAGACGTGAGGGAATACTGAACAAAGCACGTATTAAGGGTATTTAGAAAGTGACTAAAGGGTGGTGTATGAATTTATCAATGGATGCAACCCATATCACACTTCAAATGTCAAATTATTCTAAATGATTACAGATAAGGAATATCACATATGGTTTGATAAGCTGTTTGTGTTTTTGGTGACGCCAGCATTTGCAGCCAAGTAGATGAGTTCATCATTTATTAAAGCACAAAACCAGTTTATGTCTGGTTAAGTGAGTAATGTGTCAGGAGCCTTTACCACAGAAAAAGGACTCCTATTACTGGCAGGGTCATGACAAACAACTATGGGTAAGCCTTCTCCATAATAAGGTTTCACAATTTGAAATTGTAGTTTCGAAACTGTAACCTACAAAGGAGTTAGTTAGACCGGCTCCCTAAAACAATAGAACTTGCATTTAGAATCTAGATTTATCAGGAAGTTTATATGCATGGGCTTTCTTTCCAGCTGCAGTAGAAGATATGCAAGGGTTCTTCAAAACGGTGAAGGGGAAATTAAATGCAAAAGTCAGAAAATGTATTTTGAAAAACATTTGAAAATAAAAGACCTGTTACCAGTATAGAAGTTTTAACTTTGTGCCTATTCATTTCCTGTTCAGACAACATAATAAATGTTGTTTGCTTATCATGATTTGTTTGAATATAATAGGTTTTCCTAATAAAAATAAACACTTTGCAGTTCGATACATGTTTTGGGGGAAAAAATGTTTTTTTGTTGATTACTTGGATTTTATTCATGAATAAGCTGCAGGTTTTTTTGTAAATATATAGGTATCTATAACCCTTAAACTGTTTTTACACTATCAATAAAAAAAACAAAAAAAGCAACAACACAATTTTAATGTGAGGAGGAAAATAATTCACAGTTAATAAGGATATAAAAAGTATGCTGAGAATTTTACACAAGCCTTTGAACTCATGAAACAAAAATGATAATTAAGTCCAGAGGGACCAGTTGCCTTCATTACCTAATAAGTAAATAGATTTTCCCCATGTTTGATTTAATGTCAGTGTTTCTTTCAAACTGCACAGGCTTGTTAAGATGAAGAAAAACAAGGGAACGACCAGAGATAAAGTTATGGACAAGTCTGAAGCAGGTTTAGGTTCTACAAAGTTATTCTAAACATTAAATATTTGATTGACTACGGTTCTACTTTTCATTAGAAAATAAACTGAGAATAGCACAACTGGAACATTATCATGGTCGTCCACCTAAATGGCCTGGCAAGCAGAGCATAAACATTTTAGTATCCAAGTGGCCTAGAAATTATTTGCTCTGTTACATTTTCTCCAGTAACAATAGAGGGAAAAATCTCCTATTACCTCCTTTGGTTACTTCATTGGCAATAAACAAGCAAATTTTAACCAAATTCTTACAGAAATCAATACATACACACACCCACAAGTTTATAGTATAGGGAAACTCTTTGTATCTACATATTTTCTTTAAAAGCACTGTTGAGAAAAAGAGGAATGGACATCTTCTAGTTTTGAAAATTGATTTGTATCTTGTAAGTATGTTATACGGTGTTGAATGAATTTGAACATATTTTAATATCATTCTCAAATTAAAACAAACAACAACAAAAAACATAATTTTTACCAAATACAGGAAAATATGCAGAGGTGATTCTAGGCCAAATTTACTAGGGTGTCCGACGTGGGGCCAGCATGTTTTCATGGGGGCACAGAAAAGCATAAAAAACAGGGCAATAGTTTATCAGATAAAACATATTAAGAGAACACAGTTACTTGTGGCTGTTACCAATGAAGTAACATTTCCATGTCATTGAGTGTAATTAAATTGTGTGTTTTTCCAATAGAACATTTCTAATATGTACATTTTATTAACCTTAAATTAAAAAAGATAATTTACCATGTAAAAAAAAAAAGAAACTGAAATAATTTGTTGTTAAATATGTATCTACCAAAAGGTGGTCTTTGGAATATTGGGTCAATATACATTTATAAGTTAGGAATACACATTTTGACTTATTTTGAATGAAAATGATCAATTTCAGTCAAATCAGAATTAGAACTTAAGTAAAACAGATAAATTCAGCTGTAACAAACGAGAGTATTTTTTTTCAATGTGGTTTAAAATAAAATTTAGCAGACAGAAACTTTGATTCTATCTCAAGAGAACTGAAAACATCACTTGATATTTGAAATCCTAATTAAAACAGAACTGTAGAGAAAAATTAAAAGGCCCAAGAGAGTTATCAGTCACTTTGTCTGTTCCAGCCCATATTATCATCAGAGACTGTAACAGAGGCTAGAACTAGTTCTATAGTCTATGACTACACATTTACCCTTTTATCATTTTTGTTATAGTCAACTGTTGTTTTCTAATCGAGTACTACAGAAGCACCATAAAGAGCTTTCTGACCAGCTGTCTCACTATGTGGTGTGGAGGCTGCAGCACCTCAGACTGGGAGAAAATGAGAAGAGTGATGAGAACAGCAGAGAAGATCATAAAAGACATTCATCCCAGCGTTGCGTGTCCTGAGCCTGTATAACATTATCAATGACCCCTCACACATAGAAAGCGCTTTGTAGCATTTGATGCAGGCCCAGCAGATTCTGCAACAGTTTCTTCCTCACTGCCATCGGACAGATGAACTGTTTAGAAAGCTCTAAATCATGTCACTGACTCCACATCACACTGATAATACCAAACGAAAATCCTGCATATATGCACCATACATATTTAATGCGTTTTGGGTTTTTTTTGCACCATATCTCTTCTCCCGCATTGTTTACATTTGATCACTGCTGTACTTTAAGAAATGGAAATGTCAAGTTTTACAAAACAATTTGTCAACAATATGACAATAAAAGTTGTCTAAGTCTAAGAGTAAAAATAGCTAAAAGCAATTATAATCTTACTTAAATGTAAATTTGTATATACTCTGCTTAACCCCTGGTTACGTATGATAAATAATAAATCAAAGTTCCTAAGATAAAGAGTGGTTTTGTTGTTTGAAACTGTCTTTTCCGAGCCCGAGGTGGTTCCATAAATGCAGCTGATTGAGCGAACGGGGTGTGACGTGGAGAGAGCAATCAGGGCTGCTGAGGCAGGGCGCGAGCCGAAACCAGTTCACAGTTGTCGGGGAGAGGGACGCTGGGAGAGCCTCTATATGTCCGAAAAGAGACTTTTTATGGTGCTGAAAGTCCAGAAAACAAGAAAAGAGAGGGAGCCCTTTAGAACCGAACAAGCGGAGCAGGGCACATGGAAACATTATGCGTCTGGACAGACGGCGGTGGACTTTCCCAAAGTTTTAGTCGCGCAAAGAGGCAAAGTGAGGCGAGATAAACATGCTCTCTCCGATGCTGGCCTCATTTCTGCCTCTTCTCCTTCTCTGTCGGATTTCTTTCTGTCAGTATTCAAGCGACCAGTGCAGCTGGAGGGGCAGGTGAGGTTCTCTGACTTTACTCTAAATTAAATCCCACCCAAAGATGGTAAATTCATGCGTTTGCAGTGAAAATAAGAGAGGTGCTGGCGGCAAAATGGAAATGATAGATTTAACCAATAGATAATCACATCAAGCATAGAATATAAATAGATAAAACTAATTCTAGAAGGTGGTATTTTGTTAATACATGTTTTTTTTATTTGCAATGACAAAAATCAATGATCTGTGCTCTTATTGTGAAAAAAAATTAGCTTTTACTTTTAAAAAGTTTTCTGAGCTTTTCATTAAAATTTTCATTGTTAAATCTTGTCCAGATGAATACTGAAATGCATATGCATGTTTATATTCTCCTATGTTTAGGTGTCATGATATGACCTGACACAAACAGGTGAAGCACACTCTGCTAACATCCCTCCTTGCAACTGCAGAAACAGATTTATACTTAAACCTACTTTTAAGAGTGATTTTTTTTTTCTTCTTTTATCCACCCAACAGGAGGGCTAAGTCATGCTTCAAGCATCTAAACCAATAATCTGTTATCCATTAGTGATATGCTTGCCTAATCTCCTTTAATTGCATGCAGAGGTGATGAACTTAGATAGAACTTAATTAGAGGCGTGCTGAGGTGAGCCTGGTTATGGGGCTTCAGCTGCATCTGCTCAGCATGTGCCTTTGGTTACTTTAGATCTATGGTGAATTTGAATTTTACTGTCTCTTTTTCAGCATACTGGGCGTTTCTCTCCCCCCCCCCTTCTGAAATAAACCACAGGCTTGGCATGTGTATGCTGATGGCTTCCTGCCTCTGGCTTTGCCACGGAATGACTGACACACTGGAGTTTTCAAACCCCTGACCAGGCATTAAGTTGTGGAGGGAGTGATTTGGTCGTGCTGGCGCCACAGTCCGTAGTGCTGCACGGACAAGTCTCTTCCACTCTCTTTGTTGGTGGTTTGAAACCAAGGGGAGGTTTGGTGCGTGACCGGCATTTGCACTTCCATGCAGCAGGCACTGCTGCTGTTGTCTCCCCCAGAAGCCCCTCTGTCCCCTCCATTCATCCACTTCTCCCTCCAAACTCTTCCCAAAGGCAACCTGCCAGTGGTGCGTTTTGCCAGAACTCGGGGCAGAATAATGTCTTATGGGGAGTGTGTTTGAGCTGAGGTCATGTCGGCTGCTGTGGCTCGTGACTGGTCATGCAGCCAGTCTTGCGCAGGGCCTAAATGCTTTAGAAGGAATGTGGTTTAGTGTCCTTACAGTCTGGATCTGGGTTGTTCCTGGTCGAATAATTAGTTTAGATGAAGTATCACAACAGGGTTTAATCAAACGGTCAGAGAAATTATGATTAACTGCTCTCCTCTCACCCTTTCTTGTCACTTTTAGCGGGTTAACCCATGAAGGCCACACCAGGGATGTGGAGCAGGTGTACTTGCGCTGCTCGCAAGGCTCTCTGGAATGGCTCTACCCCACCGGAGCCATCATTGTCAACCTGCGGCCCAACACCATGTCGCCCGCCGCTGCCCGCCTCTCTGTCTGCATCAAACCCTCTAAGGACTCCAGTGGGACAAACATCTACCTGGATCGCAATGGGAAGCTGCGGCTGCTTCTGCGAGAGGAGGAGCAGGCTGAGGGGAAGGTGCACTGCTTTAGCATCCAGGAGGGGGCGCTTTTCATTGAGGCTATTCCGCGTACGGACATCAGCCGGCGGATTACGGCATTTCAGTATGAGCTGGTCAGCGACAGGCTGAGAGAGGAGGCTCAGTCACCTGCTGGTAAGGTTTATTCCCATTGTGTTGCTTCTGTATTACAACAGTTGTGGTGAACCTGTGGTTATTGAGGTCATGAGCTGTAATACAAGTCATTACACACGGTTTGAGGTACAACGTACATAATAAGGTATTCTAGTAAAGTTTCAAAAGCTCAAAAATTCTACATCCCAAAGCATGCCTTTCCTTAAAGTTATAAACTAAGAAGCTGGATTGGGCTGAGATTTCTGTGTTAATGAAGAATCATGTAACTCTGCCCCTCCCCCACATGTTGCTGTCAGTTACCACGCTGAAATAAGACTATAGTGCTTTCACAGAAGGACAAACTAAGCTCTATATAAATAAATCTGGTCTGCAAAACTTACAATTATAGTGTTAGAAATAGGAGCCCCCCTTTCCTCCTAATAAGTGTTTAAAATTTTTTTTCAGCAGACAAGCTAACATGTTGCAGTCTAGAAACTAACTACTTGAGCATATAGTTTGTCTAATTATGCAGTTATTACAATATTTAGTTGCTCTGTTTATTCCCTGTGTGTTTATGCTTCAGCACCTGAATATAAAATTTATTTAATAAGAGAAAGTCTGCAAAAAAACCAACTACAGTTACATGTTTTTACAGAAAGTCATGATGCTTTGAGAGTCTCATACTGACCCATACCTGCTTGTTTCCTTTGTGGCTGTGGTGTACACTCAGGACTAAATACAGCCATCTGCTGGTGAAAAGCTTTATCAGGTTTAACACTAAACATTTACACAGTAGTTCACTCAAACCAAACTCCATTTAATTTTTAGTTTGGAGGGAAAAGGAAAGGCTGAGATTAAAACCTGAAAAAGTTTTAATAACTTGTCGCCTCTCTGCTTGTTTCACAACTGCACCGTTGCTCTGACACGGGAACACTCTGCTGCGAGCTGTAATTGTTTTCTTTTTTGTGGATAGGCTCTGTGTGTGTGTGTGTGTGTGTGTGGAGGGGCATGGCCAAACACAGGCCTTCCAATGAAAAACAGACGTATATTTTCATACTGCGTACCTGCCAGGCCTGCACAGCTTCAAGCTGCGCAACTGTTGTTTTTTCCACCTCTAGCAAAACATGAGTAGTATCAGACCCTCTTGTTTTTTATGGCTCTCTGGCTTCACGTTTCCAATTCCTGCGTCATTGCTTGGCACGCTGGAGAGTTAAAAGAAATCCGAGGGGAGCCTCTGCAGTGGGTATGAGCCCATGGCTCTCCTCCGAAGCAGTAAAGTGGTATGGGATAGCACTGAGGTGATTCACAAAGACAGTGGTCTCGTGTTGAAGTGGGGCCTGAGCGGCAGATTGATTGCTCCTCTGCTTCATCTGATCATCTTTGGTGTATTTCTTTCCTTTCTCTTCCTCCTCTCTCTGACACGCTGCACTGGGATCTGGTTGCTCACCAGCATGCTGGAATGCATTTCCAACCAGATGTTGGGAGGGACCTCTTGGAGCATATAGACTTATTTACCCCTCTACTCTTTTTGTTCTTCCTTCCTCTAATCAATTCCTACTTCTTCATCTCTGTCATGTCTGTTTATCATTCTACTATTTAGCTTTTGATTCCTTCCCCCTTTATGTATCTCCTGTCTTCTCTTGGCTGTTTCAAGTGGTTTTTGACGCTTCTGAATGGTATTAGCAAGATGTGCTCCATTTCACTGGAATGCATCTGGTCCCAGATGTTGCAGGGACTCTAATGTGTTTCTGCACCCCTCCCATCCTCCTCCGCTCTCTGCTCCTATGAAGTGGTTCTGATCAGAGCAAACGGGGCAGAAGGAGACGCTGACTCGGCTCTTGGCCCATTCCTGCGGTTGTGTTTCATCTTTCATATGTGAGCTCCAGTCGGCTCGGCTCTGTAGGAAAGCAAACACGCCCCGGTCCGGTCCGGGCCGGGCCCCGGCTCGCGGTCCTGCCTGATGCCACGGCAGTGCTCGGACTCACTTCAAAGCAAGTGTGCGCTTCACCCTGTGGCTCTGGGCGAGGTCCGCTCTCTTGAAGTCCACCGTGGGTCCAGCTGTTAGCAAGCCATCAAGGCTCGTCGCTGTCTGACTCTTGACCTCTCCAGTGACGTAGCAGCGCTTTGTGGTTCTGCTCCAGCTGACCTGCTTGCCGTCATTCCTGACTGAAAATTTTCAGCAGTGAAAATGAAGAGGATTGGAGAAAACTTGTGCTTTTTGAGACTTTTTTTCTCAATTAAAATTTCTGATCATTTCATTTTTAGAAATGCAGAGATGATCCACCTGAGTTAATACTGTTAGCCATCCTCCTTCTTTTCTGGACTGACAGGCACTTCTGCTGCACCCACAGTCCACCACTGACCACAAACCTTTCCCTCTGCTGACACTAGCTTTCTCCCCACCTGTTTCTGAGTACCAGCCTACCACTAAGAGAAAAAAAGCCTGTGTCTAATGAGAGCATTTAGCTTTATCTGGCTACAGGTCTATATGAGACGACTAATCTTGTCCCTTACAGCCCTATTCTTTGCACTGTTAACACTTTCTAGAGTTTGGCTGATAAAGTTGCTCCTGGTGAAACTCTGCATTATGTTAGCTTGTGTGGTGGGGCTAACCGAACAGGCCCCATACCATTTCAGTGTGTTTGATAACCAATGCTAACACATTTACAATTAGCTTTAGCACTGCACAACATTAGAAAAGCTCTGCTACTATTACTAAATATTTCCAGTATCTATTATGACTCACTCACTCTTGCCCTAGATACCTCCAGCACTCTTTTTGTGTAGATCAAGCATAGATCTAGTCTAGGATAAAATAATTTATATTATTGGTGTTGAGAATTTGCATGCAAAGCACTTGAAGTATTCAAATTTTGTGCAAATTGGTTTTATATGGATTTATGCCATAATGAATGTTATTCAGTAACTTTAAGATAAAAAAGATAAAACAGATTGATTGAGCTGAGGCTGTTTTCCTTCTGTGGAAGGAAGTGTCAAAGGATTCAGTTGTTCTTTTTCTGTGGGAACGCATACTTATATTCCCTGTTTCTTTATTCTCCTAGCACCCTGTCGACCCTGCACTGATGCTGAGATGCTCCTAGCCGTCTGCACTAATGACTTTGGTAAGTTTTAGTTATGACACCGTAGGTCCCCACCTATCAGAGGTCTGTGTCTAATTTCTAAGCAACAGTTTTTATTAAGCAGATTCACTTTTTTTCTTGAATCGCTATAACAGAAACTTTTAGAAACACTAAAATAAGAGGCAATATCACGCTGAGATTTTTACCATTTAGGCACAAAGAAAAAATGTTTAACTTTTTAGTTTAATTTAGTGGTTGGTGTGCAAAGCGTCAGTGTTTGCTAGTTATTTCTAAATATATCTGTAATGTATTTCTATAGAATATAGATGTTTGATATTATCTCTACCATTTCCCAACATTTAAATCCAGCACTCCATCACTCATGCAGATTGAAACTTTAAAGAGAATAATTTTTGTTCAGTATTTCTCACTTTCTTGGAAATGTATAAACGATAGATTTAATAACCAACTATGCTTGTTACTAAAAATGTGTAAATACTAGTTGTCTTCCCTTAGTAACTGCACCCACACTGAAAAGGGTAATCATTGGTAAACCGAGAGGCTTGTTTATGGTGCATTTATTGATAAAGTCATTTATTGATGCATTCCTTTTTTGTCATTTCCCTGCAGTGGCACGAGGCATCATTAAAGATGTGGGCCTGGAGGAGGAGCACTCCCAGGTGTCTGTGGAGATCAGTCGACTCTACAGACAGAAGACCCGTGTCTTTTTGTCAGGGGGTGTGAGGGTACGAAGCTGGACAGGCAACATTAAAATGCCGATGCAGTGTAGGGTGAAGCCTGGAGACGGAGAGTTTCTTTTCACCGGGACAGTGAGGTTTGGGGAGGCCTGGATGGGCTGTGCTCCTCGCTACAAAGACTTCCTGCGGTTGTATCGCGAGGCAGAACTCCAGGGGACGAACCCATGCCATGTGGACACTGACTGAATGACTCATTAGCTGCCCACATTTGGAAACAGACATTTTGTCAATTGTTGAGGATGGCTAAACTGAAATTTCAAGCCAAGAAAAAAAAAAAGACTGATATGCTATTCCAGTGTTCTCTTGGCTGTTCTGTGACTCTTGGAGTACGGAAATGAAAAATGTTGTAAAGCAGCACATGATGGGAGCTGAACGTGATCAAACTGTGTTCAAGTTGTCTTCTCAAATTTGAGGAGCTGGAGTGTTTTTTTTCTTAAATGTAGCAAAATTCCCCATTGTTTGTTTTTCTATGTATAAAATGTGAAATAATGTACATTTTGAAACGATGTGCTTTGTAAAGGAAAAAAAGAAAGTTTGTACAGATATGCTTTTAATTTCTTTAGGAAAAATGTGTAAATTCAAAGACTCTTATTTTGTTTAAAAAAATACTTGCAATTTCATGCCTGAATTATTTTCTTTTCAGGCTCTGCAGTTGTAAAAGAAAAAAAAAGATGAACCAAAAAAGGAGAAATGTTTTAAAAATAAATTCTTTGAATATCCATGCGAGTATTTTTTAAAATGTTGGTTTTAAAAACCGAGTACATCTTTATCTGGATAGTCAAATAAAAGTGTTATTCTTTATTATTTTACACAAAAAGGGATTCTCAAACTTAATGTTTTCATGAGGGAATTTATTCTGGCCAGGCTGCAGGAATAAAACCAGCACCATGTGTGCATTTGCCTTACATCAGCCTAGAGGTGGAAGAATTTATCCAAAAGGTAAAGAGAGATTGATATCAGAGATTCAGGGTGGATTCCTCTGCGTTGGTTCCTGTGGTGACGGTGTGGCCATGTGTCAAGGTCAATGTGAAAGGCCTCTTTGTTCGAGCAGAGGAGCCCGCTATGAGTAGGTCTGAAGACCAACCTGAATAAAGCCCTGTGACCGGGGACACAGCATAAAGTATGACTTTCACACCGCACTCCTAATTTTGATTGGCATGTAAACCTGCAGCTTTACACAAAGTCCTGCCAAGAACAAAAATAAAACGCAGTTAAGGAAGCATTGTGGCTACAGGAGTTCTTTGTGGGATTAAGATCAAGAGGCCCCAGCCTTTTCCATCTGCCTTTTCGTTTCAAACGGAAATGCACCTAGAATGCATTCAGCGAGGTGCCCCCCTAAGACAGTCACTTCTCCAGACAGAGCAGTGCACGGTGCTGAATTGACTGTCTGAATTCCAGCTGACAGCCAGACGTCCTCAAATTGCTCACTGGGAAATGCAAACAGAGTTTCTATGGTTACAGTCCCCCTTCTTCTGAAAATCTTTTTGCCTTCAGTCTGGCTTCAGGACTTAGAGCTTTGTTGAACAAGGTGCAGGAGGAAGAAGGGCCAGTGATTCGTCCAGCTGACATCCTGCCTTCCTCTGAATTGTACATTAGATTTTGGATCCACATATAAGATGCCCTGCTTTGTCACATGCCATCAAACATCAAATGCCATTAAATTAGCCATATACTTCAAAATCCAAAGCAAATAAAGAGCCTGCTGTGTATCAATAGTTTCCGTTCTACTTCAGGTTATCTTAGTTTTAAGATAACCTGAAGTAGAAGTTTTGACACGACAGAGGATTTAATGTTCCTACTACCAACCAACCTGCTGACTTATTACAGGCCATTAATTGATTTCCTACTTATATTTCATAATTTTCCCAGATATGTTGCTGGTGCCATAATATCCTGTAGGTGACTTATAATAATATAAAATCCTGTAGGATAGAAAATATATATTACTTTGCGTCTGAGAAAATGCACTTTTAGATATTTTAACAGAATATTGGACATCAGACATTTGCTTTTTTTTCTTTATACTTAAGGAATTTCTATAAAGTCAAGATGAGTGCAACAAAAGTCTTATTGTGATAAGTGAACGCATTTGTTTTGCCTTTTCGTGGTAGTTACAGTTATATTTTTGTTGCTGTTGACATAGTATGAGTTATTTCTGAGGTCTGAAAAAGGCTATTTTTTCATTCAGATTTTAATGAATTAATTAAGAGGTATGATCGGAGAAGATCTTGGTTAAGTCATGTTTAACATCCTATTATTTAGTACTACAGGTCATACCAGATATTAAAATTACTCTAAGCAGTTTAACCAGTGTACCTTATCTGATAGGTGTCATGTCTCTGTGCTCAACACACAAGACATCAACTGACCATTGTCGTTATTATTTTTGGGCTTGGGTGGTTTTAAAGTGAACTATAGTTCAGGTCAAAGCAATTTCAAAATTAAACAAATGTTTTACATCATTTTTTGTGGTCCTGTGTGTAAAGAATGAATCTACCTGGCCCTGATGTTCTCAGAGGGATGAAAATCAAACTGGAAATATTGTTTACAAAATGTTAAAAGACTAATTCTGACCCAATATTAGGGTTTGTTAAGAAATTTGGCCTTGGAAACTTGATGAAGAATGTCTCAGACTTTTTACGAAAAAAATGTACTTTTAAATCACCAGTTTCATTCACATAGCTATAAAGAATATTTAAAAAATAATTTATTTGTTAATCAGAGGTGGTCAGAATTTTACTCTGGTTAAAAATGAACTTAATATTGACAAAACTTTTACTACAACAATATGCATTAGAGTACTTTTTGTAAAACCAAGTGTGGCAGAAACTGTTGTAAAAACAAAAGGATAGATAAACTCACTAGAGACCAATGGACAGAGAGAGAGAGGGTAGCTAAGTTAAGAGGCAGGAAAACCCCAGCAGAGAGCGAAGGCCTGCTGTGGATTCTTTGGGAAATGCAGGAATGTGGGGAATGTGTTGACTTCACACACACGGGATGTGCAGCCACCATCCCAACGCTGCTGTCTTGATTAGCCAGAATCAATAGTCTCTGTGCTTTTCTGACTGTGTGTGTATGTGTGAGTGTGTCAGTGTGTGTGCCTGCAGTGTGCATGTGGCCCTAACCCCAGCGCACATAAACACATCACCCCAGCAGCCAGATAGCCACCACCCACGCCGAGAGACAACTCAGTTTGTAGCTGCACAGCTGACATCTGATGATGTGCAAGTGTGACATTTTTTAAATGCACTTCTAACACACTCCACATTGTTTATAATGTCAAATTTTTTCTCTCAGTAGGGATAAAAGTAAAATGTATGTCTTTATTTTGATTCATTTGGATAAAAAAAAAAATGTAATCATCCGTCATCATTAAAAGTAACATTCTCCACATGGTCTTTTTATAAATCTTATGTAAATTTACGTTTTTTAAATCAGTTTGTTGCAGGTAGAAAAATAAAGAAATTATTACATCTTTTAATGCTTTTTTTTTTAAATAAAATTCACATCATTCCTATAAAGTCAAAAAATCTGCAATTATCTTTAACAGATTAGTCAAATATTCTCCAAGAGTTTCTTCTCCTTTTAAGTGATTTTAGACACTTTGTACCAATTTCCTTTAAAAATCTAAAATATGAGAGACTGAAAAGAGGAGGTTTGATTTGCTAAATGCTTACTCTGTACCGTGGACGATGACTAAAGTAATACTTTGAAAGGCATTTGGAAGTTCTCTTCAATTATTTATTAAAACAGTTTAAGTTGTTACAGGTAAACACTTTAAGGCTTTGGCTCTCTACTACATATTAAATATTCTTACGTTTGATCACCACATTCCAAGCTTCTTAATTATAAGATACCATGTGGATGTTTCCTTTGTCTATGCTTTTCTATTGTACAGTAACATGCTGGATTATGAATTGAGGTGTGAGGGGTCTCTAGCAGAATATATGTGAAAGTCAATCCCTGATCCTTTCCCATAGCTAAACATGGTGTTGGCAAGATCATGCTGTTGGGATGTTTCCTTCTGTGGAAACGAAGAAGCTGCTCAGAGATAATAAAAAGCATGGATGACAGTAAATACAAACTAAAGTAGGAAGAAAACATGCTTAAAAAAGACTTGAGGCTAGTGTTAAAGCTCAAGTTCCTGCAGGAAAATTACCATAAATATGCAGTCAAAGCTGCAATATATATATATATATATATATATATATATATATATATATATATATATATATATATATATTGACTACCTTGGTTACAACTTAAAAAATGTGCAATTGAATACATTAGATTTTGATAAAACATGAAAAAAAGTGGTATACATATCTTTGTAAGGGACTTTTGAGTCTGTTGCATTATAAAGATTAACACAGAGATGCTGACCCTAAACACACATGTAAATATGTAAATCAAATGTTTACTGACTGAGCTTATGAGATTTTCCCAAAACATTGTTTATGACTAATAAGATGTCATCATCTGCTGATTTATATAGAACAGAAAATAATTCAGCTTTTTTATCATAAATGTAGTTTGCTTCTATTTAGAAGTGCTATACACTAATTATTTACATCCTGTATAGCTCTTCTGGATAGAAGTGCTATACAGGGGTAGTGCTATAAACATGCAAACCAGTACCACTGTTTACATTTTTTTTAAAGTTAAGTAACTGTTTATGGTTATTGATTTATATTGAAATATATTTTATTTTGCAGATTTTTTCCGCTGAAAAAATTAACAAGAAAACATGAAATGAATAAAAAATTTTGTTCTGTCTTAAAATGATTTAAAGTATTCCTTTTACTTCTCAGTGGTTTTGGTGCTGAGTCATCCCAAAAACAAAAAGAGACGCAAGAGGAGAGATTGTGAGACAAATAAAAACTGACTTACATTGTAGGACTTAGAAACTGTACAAAATCAAGTTCACAAAGTAGGTAATTCTGAAGCTCAGGTTAAGGGATCCATTCATAATAACGTTGCAGTGAAAAAAAAGAGAACTGAGGCTAAAAGTTTATATCAGGCTGTTTTCTATTTCTATCTCTTCCAACTTTCCACAAAGGTTTTACAGCTATTCAGAAAGTCAACTCATCCACAGGTATTCCGAATTAGCTGTCCACAACGTGTACAACTTTATGTCTCAAAGCCCTTTGAAAATCCTTCATGTGTCATCGTTTTGGTTTTATTTAAGTTTCCTTTTAAAATTTTCATTGGTTATATTTACATTTTGTTGTATTCTAGTTGTTTTTGGTTATATTTGAGTTCTTATGTATTTCTTGT